GCATGAAAAGGTCCTATTGAGATAGCATTTCAAAAGATATATCTACTGGTAAAACTTTTAACTTCACTGGCTAATTCCATAATTACAGTGTGACTAACAGAACTTCCTATAATGACAAGTGCTGGGAGCAACTTACACAATGCCAATCACACAACAGCATCTTTGAAATGCACATCATTTCAGAACTAAGTGAAAAACACTTTTTATCCAATGTAGGAGAGAGTCAGTTTTAAATGCCAAAAATACCTATGTATTTTGAATGAAACCAATTCATACGCAGGCATACTTGCAAGCATACTTCTACACAAATCATTCATGACAGAGGCAATCGTGGGTTATTGGGCTCTGCGGAGTGTCTCTCTAAACAAGAAAAAAACCCCTAACAAACAGTATAAAACAGATAATTTCTAGTTCAAAAGAAAAAAAAAACAAACAAAGCCCTGAAATAAACCAGTTGGTTGCTTTGCTTTTACAACTAAATCTTGGAAAATCTTAGTTCTCAGAAAGAAAAGAACAATGGAAGCGATTCATGCTGAAATTCAAGATTGAAGAAAGAAATCTCATTGATGTTGTGAAGAACACAAAGCTTGTTATCCTACAATATTGACAGAATTATTGAAATAGTAGAGAAAGAAGAACCAGGCTGTAGTGGAAATGCTAAGTCACAGCTTGAAATAATGATTGAGCATGTGGTGAGAAAGCAAGGCCAACCCAGGGGAGCTCAGATGTATGCAGCATACCTGAGTGATGAGAAAGGGTGGAGCCAGGATGCATTTCTCCCCAGACCTCATTTAAGGGTTGGCAGTGAAGATGAGGATATCTTTCTGGAGGTATATGCACATCTGAGGCCTTCTGCAGGCCTCCTTCCCTTATTTCTGTGTCCACTGCAACTTCTCACTTGCCTGGGCTCTTGCTGCTCTGCTGTCATTGATGCACTTACTACTATATTACATAGACTGTATCAGAGTCCATTTCCTAAGCTGCAAAGATAAGTTATACAATTATAGGTTGTAATGGCACTTAATTTCATATTCTCAAATAAATACTACAATATCGTGTCACTTTACAGGGTACACCACTTAGCTTTATAGCAGTTACTTAGAGTAGAGTCACATATTAAATGCTGCTGAGTTGTAGGGTAAATTATTCTCATCTCTGTTGGGCAAATTACAGCTTAATAATATGAGAACATATGTAAATAATGTGAATTTCCTGGTTTAGTTATTAAAATAACAAGTAATTTATCAAATAACTATGGAAAACAAAAAAGTAGTCAAATGATGAAATGATGGGCTGGAATATACAAGTAAGAATGTTTTTATACACTAAGCCAAGAATTTCTAACTAAAATGCTAATAAGAATCAGTGTCTTAATTTTTCCTGAAATCTAATACAACTGCAAGCTAACAAGACCCCAGGTAGTGCTCATCCCACCCACCTCTGATTAGATCTTGTGCAGTGAGTCAGTTCAATAGGTAGAACTGAAGGAAAGCTTTCTACTGAATCAAACCAATTTTCACTATATGCTTGCTAAATCCAATGCGACAGGAAGAGAGGGAACATACAGCCAGCCGTGAAAGAAGTGAGGGTGAAGAACTGCCTATCAAAGCCTAGCTAGTAGATTATATTAATTGACAAGACTGTGTGCTTGAAGTAATTAATGTGGTACACCTTTAGTCTGGGACAAGTGACAAGAATGATAGAAACACCTGAAACTTTGTAGACAACATTTCCTCCCTGCTGAAGAACACCTTTTTTTAAATAAACAGAAGTCAGAGCAGTGTTTCCAAAGCAATGTTACAATGACATCACTTAGCAGGGAAAATACTCTAGTTTTATTACAGGTATCAACATTGGAGCTGTTTGCCTTAATTCCTGAACAGGTCCAACACTTGCATTACATTTCCGGGATGTAATGGAGATCAGTAACCAAGTTACCAATCACAAGAGAAATTATTTGTTACTTGCAACAATTGAGCTATAATTCTAAATTCGGAGAACTTGGCTTACCTGGTATTATGTATTTGACCCTAACAGCATGACTAGTTCTGTTGAATTAGCCTGAACATGTGACGTGGTGTTTATGCCAGCTGCAGAAAGATACTATGCCTGGCCTGACATAACAAAATGTAAATACATTTGATTTAGCAGAGTGAACTTGAGTAAAGTACTGCTTAGCATCTTGTGACTATTATGCTTTGGCTCAATCCTAAGTGAACTAAAACCAGATTTATTGTTATGAAACCATGGTTCTTTCAAAACTCGATCTCTAATTAGGCTGCAGTGTGCACACATTACTCAGTTGTGTCACCTGAAAGTTGTATACAGGTATGACAATAATAGTCCTAAGTAGGTATGTACCAGAGGCTTACCTACAAGAATAATTTGAGAGCCTATTACCTTTGCTCTTGCTCTGCTGAATTCTGAAAATACACTACATCTTTCTTCTTCCCTGTTTATCCATTTGTGTGTATCCATTTGCTGCCATCGAAACAAAATCAGTGGTGGTGAGCCCAAGTCCATGGAGTCAGATGGGATCTACCCAAGTGCACCGAAGGAGCTAATTAGAAGTGCTTGCCAAACATTCCATCATTTATCAGCAGACACATACTGAGTTTCACGGTACAGGACTTTCACTGAAAAGTCATGACAGTCAGGTGAAGTCCCTGGTGACTGGAGGAAAAAAAAAAAAAAAAAGAAAAAAAAAAGGCAACATCACACTCATTTTTAAGAGGGGTAAAAAGGAAGACCCTGGGAACTACCAACTGCTCAGTCTTATCTGTATGCCAAGAAAGACCATGAAGCTGATCTTCCTGGAAGCTATGCTAAGGCATATAGAAGACAGGGAGGTGATAGAGCAGAACCAACATGGCTTCACCAACTATGATGGTGTAACTGCATCAGTGAACAAGAGAAGAGCTGCTGAAGTCATCTGTCTGGGCTTCAGGTAAGGCCTTTGGCACAGTAACCCACAACATTCTTCTCTTCAAATTAGAAATACATGGATTTGAGGGATGGATTGTTCAACAGATGAAGAACTGGCAACAGGACTGAGTCCAGAGAGTGGCGGGCAATGGCTCCATGTTTGGATGGAGATTAGTGACTAGTGGTGTCCCTGAAGGTCAGAGCTGGGATCAGTTATCTTTAATGTTTTTGGCAATGACATCAACAGCTGGGTCAAGAGCACCTTTAGCAAGTTTGTGGATGACACCAAGCTGTGAGTTGCAGTTGACTCACAGGAGAGACAGGATGCTATCCCGAGGGACACTGACAGGCTTGAGCAGTGGGCTCAGGCAAACCTAATGAGGTTCAACAAATCCAAGAGCAAGGTCTTGTACACAACGAGATCTCCTCCGCCCCCTACCCCCACCGCTACTAGCAATGCAAGCTGGAGGAGACAAGGATAGAGCATGGCCCTGCTCTATCCTGCAAGTCCTGTAAAGGACTTTGGAGGTGCTGGTTGATGGCATGAGCCAGCAATGTGCCCTCACAGCCCAAAAAGCCAACTATATCCTCGACTGCATCAAAAGTAGTATGGCCAGCAGGTCAAGGGAAGAGATCCTTCCCCCTTACTCTGCACTGGTGAGGCCTCACCTGGAGTATTGCATCCAGATGTGGAAGGCTCGGTACAGAAGAGATGTGGACCTGTTGGAGAGCTTCCAAAGGAGGGCCACAAAAAATGATCTAAGAGATGGAACACCTCTCCTGTGTGGATGTGCTGAAAGAGCTAGGGCTGTTCAGCATGGAGAAGGGAAGGCTCCAAGGTTTCAATAGCAAAAGGGTAGTACAAGAAGGAAGGGGACAGACTCTTTAGCAGGGTCTGTGGTGATAGGACAAGGGGAAAAGCTTTCAAAATTTAAGAGGGTAGATTTAAGTTGGATATAAGGAAAAAGTATTTTACAGTAAGCTTGGTCAGACATTGGCACAGGTTGCACAGAGATGTGGTGGAAGACCCCTCCCTGGAGAGGTCAGACTGGACTGGGCTCTGAGCAACCTGATCCAGCTGTAGATGTCCCTGTTTACTGCAGGAGAGTTAGACTAGATGACCTTTAGAGGTTCCTTCCAACTCTAAGGATTCTATGACTCTACTATTGTAGACAAAGTCCAGGCCTATAAAATAGTGCATTTAATGTTTGCATAAAGGTACTAACTTTGAATTTAAGACAGGAAAACTTTGAATTCTGCGTCGGTAGGAGTCTGCAGGTAGACTTCTAAATAATTCTCAGTCACCCATCAGAATTTTTTTTTTTTGACTTTTTTATTTTTAATGGCACAAGTATGGAAGTAGAAAACAAATATTTGTTTAAAACTCAAATCCTGTGGTATCCAGTATATCTAGAAAAGAAGAAAAATGCTGAATCAGAAACAAACAAAAATGACTACCTCAGCAGGAGATAGCTAGAGTGAAATTCTCTTTGAAAATGATTATTGCTGAGATGGAAATTACAAAGTATTGTCTGACAAAAAGAATAATGAAAATTAGAGTCATACATTCTATGTATAAGATACTTCAACAGAATGAATAAATAACCTTATTATTAGCTATTTCCTTATAAACCTTACTGAACAGGCCCCTCCAAACTACAAAAATGCTCTACATTAACATTTGGTGGAAAGTTTTCTATTAGTGGAACATAAATATCACTCTCCATGTAAAATTATCTGTATTAACAAAGGAAATACGAACTTGTCATAGTTTTATGGTTTTTGTTATTGGTATTCCACATCGTAGCATGATGTTGTACACTGGGAGTTAAAGAGTTAATACTCCAATTCTGTGGACTGTGGATAGTTCCGGGTACCTGGTTGTTTTTTTTTTTCTGTTCAGAGAGAAAGACAAAACTACTCTCATATCACGAGACATCCCCCTTTCCCCTCCTGCTTGGCCTGGCCAGATGTCTTGACTCAGCATCAGAGTAAGGTCTTTGGTTTTTGGACACTCTCATTTTATTTATTAGCTTCAATTCTAATTATATTGTACTATAGCGTATTATCTTGCATTCCAATATCTTACTAAATCAGTTTTGTTTTTCCTCAGATCATTCTGCTGGTTTTGTTTTTAGGCCCATCTCCCTATCTTTTCCCCAGCCATAGCTCTGTGGGTCCCCTTGCCCTGCTAGTCATGGAGCCAGGCAGAACCAGGCTGTAAACTGCTGACAGAACTGAATCACTACTTAAAGCAATAGTTATTCCATTTGACTACAGGTACGGGTCTTTGAAAATACTTTAGAGGTTCCTTGTCCCAGGATTGTGACAGAAATAGGAGGCAAATTGGCTTTGCAAATTGATCAGCAGCAAGTTCCCAGGACTTATCAAGGTCCCTAATTTTACCTTGAAGGGACAAAACACACAACATTAACTGCTGTTGAAGTTAGCTTCCCTGGTTCAGTGACTACTCTTCAAAGAGTGATTTAACTAGGGGTTTTTTCTCTTGACAAAGAAGGGAAACAAATGCCATAATCAAGTACTTTAATAAGTCTTGCCAACAGAGACAAACAAAATTTAGTAACTCAGTTAACAAATACTGGCTACAATCTCCAGCTGTGTCCCCATCTGCACCTCAAACCTGCCTCTCTTCCTGTCCCTGCTTCCCACACACACAAAAAAAAAACAAAACAGAATAAATCCATAAAACCTGATTCTTTAGAACCTTACAGTCTCCTCTAATATATGCTAATTTGGCTGCCTTAGAAAGCATTTTACATCAAGCTGTGACAGTGGTTTGTAGTGACTGTTTGACTTCAGCTTCAGGTGAAAAGTATTTCTTCTGCAAACAAGAGCAAAGTCCGCATACTCCTCAAAGTCCTCAGACTCTCACTCTGTATAAATTTTGTGAGACTTGTTTCAAACATTATTTTTTCACCTACTTGGTAAGCTTTTTAGGAATAGCACTTGACTTGGGCTGTGTGGGGACGCATTGTGCCTTGAGGTTCCAGGTTCTGGTAGTGCCTTCAATTATAATAAGAATTATGAATACAAATACTGCTGCTAAAAGATAGTACTGGCATTCCCCTTTCCCACCTATTCTAGCTACATAGCCATTCCTATCAGAAAGTATTATTACAGCCACAGCAATCACTATCCAGGTTAAAACAAATCATTTTGTCACATCAGGTTTCAGTGACAGCTTAATGCGTACATGAAACTGCAGCGATGCCAAGGCAATGGAGGGACCCTCCAGCAACGGGCAGCTCTCACAAGAGAGGCTGACATGGCATTGGTGTTGCCAGGGCAAAGTCAGGAAAATTATATGGCTGAAGCCCAGAACCACCAGTCATCAAGAGCAGCTGCTTCAAAGCTGGCCCAGCCAGAACCAGAGCAACTGATCTCAAGGCAGGAGGAGGCCTGCAGGTTTCCTTTGCCAGGGAAACACCAAGACAGTAGAAGGACCCTCCAGCAGTGTGCAGCTCTCATAACAGAAGTGGGTGTTGGCAAGGCAACAGAGGCCATACCCATGTTCTTTTCCTTGGGAAAAGCAGTGACAAGTTGCTGCCCACAAGGTACAGGGTTGGCAAACAGAGCATGGCTGTCACCCGTGTGTGTGTGCTGTAACAGGTGGAGCAGCACCTTGCATGGCAGGGCACCACAGTTTTACCAGCTTCAGAAGTGAGGGGGCACTCATTCCAAGTGATCTTCAAAGCAGAATGGTGCATTTACAATGCCAAGCTAAGGCTGCAGCTCTGGCAGGGGAGTGTGCACCACCTACCCCAGTCATCATCAGTGCCTCCACTCAGACTTAGCTTCTAAAGGAAGAAGCATCTGTGCAGGCCATGGTATGTGGGAAGTGCCTGCACCTTTCAGCTGCAGCAGAAGTGAGTGGCAAACTTGCCTGTGTAAGATGTGCCCAGGTGGAAGACTTTCTGCAACAGCTGACTGACATCAAGGAGACAGGCTGTGTGCTATCTGGGAGGTAGGGATACAGACGGTCAGCCAGATTTATGTGCAATCTGCATTAAATACACAGTATGGGCCCGAATAGCCCTAAACTTCCCCACTAGTGTATCCAGTTGGAGCGGAGACAAACAGGGATGAGAAATGGCAAGCTGCCATGAGAAAAAATTTCCTCTTGTTAGAGGAAAAAGCCCGCCTCTAAGCCTCTGCAGGAGTTAGGCGCTCTAAAAGGTGCCTCTGCAGTTCTCCAGCCTGAGAAGGAAAAAGAAACAGGTAGCAGGTAAGTCATCTGAACTATGCAAGGCAGCCAGACCTGCACCCTGTTGCATAACAACTACTGCAACTAAGAAAAAGCAATGGGTGAAAGTAGTGGATGATTTTCTTCTGAGGGGTACAGAAGCAGCAGTTTGTCACTCTGACCTGCAATCTAGAGAGGTCTGCTGCCAGAGTTTGTATGTCACACAGATTGCTATCCCCTGCTACTGTTTCATGGAGGCACCAGCAACACAGCTACCAGCAACCTGAAGATATCAAGGACTAGAAGCAGCTGGGAGCAACACTGAAGAATTTGGGAGCACAGGTAGTCTTCTCATCAATCTGCCAGGTTAGGGAAATGGGAAAGGACAGGCAATTAACAAAATCAATAAACGGATATGGGAGTGGTGTTGAGAACATGGCTTTGGCTACTCATGTCAAGGAACTCACTTGGAGGAAATCTGGTTTTCTGGAGTAGGATAGGGTTCATCTGTCAGACAAGGGAAGACCATTTTTGGCAGGAAACATTCCAATTTAATCAGAAGGGTTTTAAACTAGAATTGCTGGGAGTAGAGATTCTAAGTCATTGCACTTTGAGGCTGACAATGGTAATGGATGCCCTGGGCCTGGACTAGAATCACAAAGTTAGAAGCGACCTATAAGATCATTGAGTCTAACTGTCTCCTCATTACCATTGCCACCACAAGCACTAAACCATATCATACAGCATGTCGTCCAGACGCCTCTTGAACACTGGCAGGGACAGCGACTCCACCACCTCTCTGGGCAGGCCATTCCAGTGCCTGACCACTCTCTGAGAGAAATATTTCTTCCTTATGTCCAACCTAAACCTCCTCTGATACAACTTGCGGCCATTACCCCATGTCCTGCTTGTTGCCTGGGAGAAGAGGCCAAATCCCTCTTCACCACAACCTCCCTTCAGGAAGTGGTAGAGTGCAAAGAGTAGGATCAAAGGCCTGTAAAACAGGACCTAACTTACAGGGTAAAGGAACTGTAATTGGAATATCAGCCTCAATGGGAGCCCAACTCAAGTGTCTACACCAATGCATGGAACACAGGGAACAAGCAGGCATGTAGGTGCCTAAAGGGCTATGATGACATCAGCATCACTGAGACGTGATGGGATGACTCTCATGACTGGAATGTAGGAATAGATGGGTATAAACTCCTCAGGAAAAACTGGGAGGGGAAGAGGTGTTGTGCTCTACATCACTGACCACCTGGAATCCATGGAGCTCCACTTGGGCACAGATAAGGAGCTGACAGAAAGCTTATGGGATATGGGAACACTTGAGAACCATCGAGAAAAGAAAAGAAAGCGTTCTACAAAGGTGTTATATGGTACACATTTTGCAACTTTTAAACTGAAAAGCTGTCAGTAATCACATGCATACCTTGTATATTAGTGTGCTGATTAACTTAGTCTCAAATATATATCCCAGGGGAATCCAGTTCAGAAATCGTAGCAAAGTTTCCAAAGTCACATGAACTAAAGGAGCATTTTGGGAGTTTTCCTGTGGGAACACATCAGTGAATATTACTAAGGCATAAATGGGAGGAGGTAGCGTGGAAGAGGTTAAAAAAACCTAATACTTACCATCACGAACTGACACAGTTGAAATATCTGAGAGAACTCATTGCACATACTATAAAAAAAAAAAAAAATAAAATAAATGAAGCACTCCCAAGTTCCCAAAACAATCCAAACTGTATTAATCAAAGCGCCTGTGACCACAACACAACTTCTGAATACCTACAAATCCTTGCTTCTTTACAAAAGACAATGCCAACAGCATATTTTTTTTTGAAGAAGTCCGGTGGGATCAAGTGCATCCTCAACAACAAGTCTGCATGCAACACCAAGCTGAGTGGTACAGCTGACAAGCTGGAAGGAAGGGATGATATCCAGAAGGACATACACAGGCTTGAGAGGTGGGCTCGTGCCAACCTCATGAAGTTCAGCAAGGCCAAGTGCAAGGTCTTGCACCTGGGTCAGGGCAATCCCAAGCACAGATACAGGTTGGGCAGAGAATGGCTTGGGAGCAGCCCTGAGGAGGATTTGGGAGTGTCAGTTGATGAGAGATTCAGCATGAGCCAGCAACATGTACCTGCAGCCCAGAAGGCCAACTGCATCCTGGGCTGCGTCAAGAGAAATGAGACCAGCAGGTCAAGGGAGGTGGTTCTGCCTCTCTACTCTGCTCTCGTGAGACCCCATCTGAAGTACTGTGCCCTGTTACAGAGCCCCCAACACAAGAAGGACATGGAGTTGTTGGAGTGGGTCCAGAGAAGGGCCACAAAGATAATCAGAGGGCTGGAGCACCTCCCAGCTGGGGCGCTTCAGCCTGGAGAAAAGAAGGCTCTAGGGGACCTTAGAGCATACCTCAAGGGGGCCTACAATGAAAACTGGGGCAAGATTTTTTGTAAGGGCAAGTAGCAACAGCATAAGAAGCTAATGGCTTTCAACTGGAAAAGGATAAATTTAGACTGGATACTAGAAAGAAATTCTTGACTGTGAGGGTGGCGAGACACTGAAACAGGATGCCCAGTCTGGTCATGGATGCCCTTTCCAAGGCTGGAGGCGTCCAAGGCCAGGCTGGATGGGGCTGCAAGCAACCTGGTCTAGAGGGAGCTGTCCAGGCCAACAGCAGGAGGGTTGCAACTAGATGACCTTAAGGGTCATTTCCAACACAAACTATTCTATGTTTCCATGACCATCATGGGATGAGGCAGTCGCAATAATGCAGAAATATACGTTGCATGGGAACTGCTGAGTCACAGCCTGAACCACTGATTGATCACCTGGGGAAAGGACAGGGTCAGCCCTGGGAGCACAGGTGAAGGCAATTCAGCTGTGCAACCAGTAGGGGTGGAGCCCCCTACTTGCTTAGTTGTGAACAGGTCTAATGTCATCCTATTCTGAAATACCACTTTGGATAAAAAGGTTACCTCCTCTTGGATTGCTGGTAATGCATCTGTTGTGGCACTTTCTACTACTTCTAGAGTTGCAGAGATATTCACAATATTCACAGCCTTTTCCAGCTGAGTTACTCCTAAGACTGGGATAAGGGCTCTCACAAAGATATGGTATCCTGTATTGTACCTTACCAGTGGTTTATTTACCCTTTTAACCCTCCTGGGATTTTGATAGTAGCTCCACACAGTTCTCACTATGCCTGGTGGGAGTTCTTTTGGATGGACGTTCGTAGGAGGTGCTAAATATCCTCCTATGCAATACCCTTTCCAATTTATTGACACTGATTTTCAAGCTCTCCCATCTCCACACAGCCACCAGAAACCTTTACTCAAATGACACTTGCTCACTATATTATTTCCATTATGATATTTGTTCCCACTAATGAGAGTTTTATTACTTTCTTTAATAGTGGCCACTATTAAGCATGACAATGTAACACTGATCCAAATAGAAGGGAGAAGAGTGACAATCATACATTTAACAATAACAAATAAATAAAACAGAGGTACAACATTACTACCCACAACAACACAAAAGATAGTACTATTGCAACCAAAATACAAAATGTTACAGCACACAATATTACTTTGCCACAAACACCACCCTGTGTATACTGAGATAAAGCAAATTAGTAACTGACTTATCTTTTCTGTATGAGTTTAACTTCTGACAGTGCACTTGACAGACCGAGTAGTTTCTCAGCATCTTGGAATAACCTCTTGTAAAAATACTTTAGTTACCCCACATGCCTTATTAGTTCTACAAGGGAATGCTTCTGGCCACTGTAAAAAGATATCAGTTAGTACCAACATACAGCAACACCCCTTTTCTTGGGAGCTCCAAGAAATCAATTTGCATTGTTGCCCTGGAAGGCCCCCTTTCCCAATAGGCCCACTTGTACCCTATTCCTGGTACTAGGATTGTACTTTGTAGTGTCTGTTTACTGATAGATTTTCTTATCTTTCCCTAGAACTAATTTCTGTAAAATACTGAAGGGCATAACAATGTGTCCATCTGGGCATGCACCCATCTGTCAGCTTGCTTTCTTCCCTTCTATATCATACATTCCTAACCTCATTAGAATATTTTTACAGGTTTGACTTAGATTCAGAGATCTTAAGCTTACTATCTGGAATTAAAGCCTTCTTCAACTACCTGCTTTGCCACCTGATCCATCTTCTTATTTCCAGTTTCCTGTACAGTGTTACCTTCCTGATGTCCTTCACAATATATAATAGCCACACACTTTGGTAGATTTACATCATGCTGTTTTCCTTGTGTGAGCAATCCTTGCTCTTTTCAGATTGCACTAAGAGCGTGTAGCATCCCAAATATATAATTAGTGTCTGTCTATATAATTAAGGCTCTTGTCAAGGCAGTTATTTCAGCCTTCTGAGGGAAGTCCCCACAGATAATGGCTGTGCTTCGATTACCTTATCAGTAGCAGTTACTGCATGTCCTGCCTTACCGTTTCCTTATTTCACAAAACTGCTACTGTCGGTAAACCAGGTGGCTTCTGCATCTTCTAAGGGCTCATCCTTCATATCTGACCAGCCGGAATATGCAGCTTCAGTTGTTTCAAAGCAGTCATGAAATACTGGTTCTCTAGGAGTTCCACTAAGAAAAGATACTGGGTTGACAACATTAGTTACAATTATTTCTACATCATCCTGCTCTACCAGGATGGCCTGGTATTTCAGGAACCATTGAGGTGAAAGCCAATGCCCCTCTTTTACCTCCAATACAGCAGACATGGAATAAGATATTAAAACTGTTATTCTTTGGCCTAGCATAACTTTACTGGCTTCTTGAATATTGAGCAATAGTGCAGCTACTGCCCTCATGCACCCTGGCCATCCCTTACTCACTTTATCAAGCTGTTTGGAGAAGTATGCCACTGCCCCTTTGATAGGGTCCAAGGCTCTGGGCAAAGGACTCCCAGGGCTATTCCTTGTTTTCCATGCGAGGGCAGAAGGGTTTAGTCATGTCTGTTAGTCCCAAAGCAGAGGGCCTTCATGAGTTGTTGTTTCAACTGAGGGAATGGCCTCCTTGCTTCCCCATTTCATAGAATATTTTGGTTTTACCAACAGTCCATAGCTGTGTATCCACAGTCAGCACCACCTGTCATTCCTGGGAATGTATGGACTTCCTTGGCAGTCTGTGGCTCAGGGGGTTGGCAGATGGCTTCTTTCCTGACAGTCGTTAAGGTTTGAAGTCCAGCTGTAATCTCTTATCCCACATACGTCACTTGCTGCTGAGTTATTAGTGCTTTCTGTTCAGAAACTTGATAATCATTTAAACCAAGAAATTCAGTAAACTCACAGTCCACTGTACACACACTCTTTTGTTTCCGTGGCATCCACATCCTTGCAGTAAAGTTCCATCCTGGGATGGAGGAACCCAAGTCTCAGGTTCACGAGTTGACCAGCTCTCAAAAATCACTGAGCTGTTCTCACAACCCTGGGTAACACTGTCCAGGTTTTTTTTTAATCCCCATATCAGGGTTTTCCTATTCAAAGGTAAACAACTTTAGGCTTCCTTTGGCCAAATCAGTCAGAAAAGGCATCCTTCAAATCCAGAAGGTAAACTCCACCTACTCATTCCTTAACCTCGTTAATAGTGTATGAATTTTCCACCGAGTGCATGCATGCAATTACTTGCCCTCAAATCTTGTACCAAACTATAGCACTTGCTTTCCAATTTTTCATCAGCAAGTTTGGAGTATTGTATTGGGATTCATATTCAATTAGTAATCCAAACTCCAAAAATTATCTACTATTTCTTTTATCCTTCTACAATCACATATCTTCAAAGGGCACTGCTTTACCCTGACTAGGCTAACTCTTGCTTTTAACTTAACTTCTGTTTAGGGCTGCATTTTTGGCTCTGCCAGGTATCCCTGATACTCACACTCCTAAGCGCACCTTATTTAAGATTTCTGTAACCTCTGGGGTACAACCTTGTTTCTACCAGTTTGCGTTAAAACCAGACTTACAATTCTCAATTTGACCCTTACTCCAGTTTCATTCAATTTCTTGCCAGAGTAACCTGGCATGTACAAGAATTTACATATTCCTAGATGTTTTCTCAGCCTGTATTTAATTGATCCCCAAAAGTAAGCATCTCCTACTACTGTTGCAAAATCATCTATGGGTGGTAAGAGGCACCCGTGTGCACCAGAAAATAAATCTCTTTATCCTGCTCCCCTAGCTGCAAGTTAATCAGTGGATCTGCTATGGTAAACTTCCCAGGTTCCCATCCTTCAGCTTTGCAATCAGAAACAGTTCCCCCTCACTCATCTTGGTAGGATTTCTCCACCAGTGTCCCATTACACTGCAGTTTGTTCCAGTAGGGCGGAGCCCCCTCTTCTCTTGGCTCTTCCAGCCCTCCCACCTTCCTCTGAGGGGATCTCTGTGTCCTACGGCCCTGCTCTAGTGCTGCAAAAGTAACAGCTGCTGTTATTCCCAGTTTCCTTACTATCTCTGTTTCGCAATCAGTTTTTTTCTCTCTTTTCTTTCATACCGCTCACTTCTCTTCAGTACTGACATCCCTGTTACACCCTGCTCATCTTTGCCTTCCTCAGTCTGTGTCCTTCCCAAACTTTGCAGTTTCCAAACTCTCATCATTAAACTACTAACATCATATTTCAATTTTACCTCCTCCTCTCCAGAAGCTTCCAGTGCTAACACTAGGATTTTGGGTTTCTTAGATCTTTGCAGATGAAGGCCATTCTCACTTCCAGTACCCTATCCTCTCCACCTCCCCTCCTTGCAAGCAATGGGAGCAGCAGTCTCCACCCCGGCTCAGTCTGTCACTCCTAGCATTCTGCTAGTGAGGGAAGGGGGTGGGGGGATTGCTCTCATGCCAGCACAGATAAACTCACTTTCTCTTTAACCCTTTTTCCTTTGTACACTATTCCACTATTTGTACCCTCAGTTACACTTCCACATACCCTCAATTCTACTTCTGTATACCATTAACAATTATACTTTCTTATACCATCAAAACAGTTTGTCCCACTCCCTTCAAAACCCATAAATCAAACCACACAGTTCTTCAGTTTCCACAAACACCCTTAATACCATATAACTTCCCCCTAATAAATCTATATCGCTTGGTTATAAGCACCTTGCCATAGAACCAGCACTGATTGACCCACCTCCCTCACACACCTCCTTGCAAGCAGAACACAGTGTTACATAAACAAGTTGACATTCATTTCCCAAATGGAGTGGGAATCTCTCTATGGGTTCGTCATTCCCATTCATAAATTCATACAAAAACATACAGACAGACAACGATCACCCTTATACTCTGCACTCGCCCTGCAGCTGTGCCACAATGTCTCATGTATTCAAGACATTCACTTGCAATCACACACAATGCCGACTTTACACTTTACCAAATCAGAGCTCTGAACTATTTTTGTGTGTTTTGATAGCAATTACTCAAACACACAGTACAGATGGTGATCACGATAATACAACCTATAACTTCCACATTATCAGTTGACAAGATAGCCACTGTCACTGATCATCTAAGGGAGAGCTATTGCTCTTTCCTTGCATACGACTTACAGGTCCCCTTAGTAGGAACTTCCCCAAGGAGTCTTCCTACCCCAGCTGGCAACCTAACCCATGAGCTCACATACCTTGGGGGGGGGTGCACACACGATGCACACTCCTTCATACCCTGCGTAGGAAGTCTCCTCATGACTTACAAGTTCCCCTCTTCCATACACGTACCTGGCCCGCCGACAAATGGTCCTTGTCTGTTCCTGCAGTGATTGGATGAGGAAGGAAAATCCTGTGAAATCTCAGGGCACACCAAAGATGTCTCCCCTCTCAGCCGGTCCCACAGCCAAACAGAGGTTGTCTCATCCGAGTCGCCAAACTGATGTGCAGAAATCAAACTCTATAGCCAGATTAAGGAATGAGAGCAGGTATGTTTATTTCAACAGTGCACATATGCTGGGTGCAAGGGGGATAGATCTGCCTAACTTGCATGCTGTGAGGAAAAAGTGAGCTATAGATATAGGCCAAACTAATACATAATCAATTGTTTCCAGGAAATTGGATACATATTCATTACATTTCTGGGAATCCATTAGCATGCAGGCCCTCCCCCTCGCACATGTGCAGTGAGTTGTGGGGGCCTCCTGGTGGTCATGGGATGAAGAAGCAGTCTTTCTAGGTAAGGCTCGTAGTCTTCCTGTTGTAAACTTCTGACCCTGAGGGAGGGGCAGCCCCCATCCAGTTCTAGCCTGCCCTGAGGACATCTTATCACCTCCCAGCCAGAGGTCCTCAAGCTGTTCTCAAACTCTTATCTTTATGTTCTCTAACCCCCACGTTGTCTCAGTCCCAGTGTCTGCAATTCCCATTCTTCTAGCAACCTCTACATATTCACTTCTGTAAACTACCTTTAACTATCCCCAGTTCCTGTGAAGCCTTTTTCTCATCTTTTGCGGTGGGGCCCTTCTCTCATTCTTCAGTTTGACCTAATTTAGACAGTGAAATGCCAAAAGTAACTGAAATAGGTACATGGAATCTATTTGAAAAGAAGACCAAAACAATTAAAAACAATAGCAGATGCTCAGTGAGAAGAGGGATGTGCTAGGCAGGATTAGTTCTGCCATTTCTGACAAAGCAAGCATGTAAGGACAGCACAAGTTCTCTACATTCAGTAATCACTAAATCACATTTTCTGCTTCTATTACATCAGAAAACTATAGAACTAAGTTGATAGCTGCATGAGAAAGTGGAAACTACAACATCCTTCCCTGCTTTCTGCTGGAAGTCTTCACAAGGGACACTGCATAGTAATGCAAGAACTCTGCACTAATCTCCCGGCCATGAAAGAGAAAGGACCTCTACTGAAGAGTGAGGCAGAGGCTGAAGCTGTTTACTGTGACACTGGTATTATGTTAATGGATTGTTTGTTGTGCACTGCCCAGACAATTTCCTCTGAACGCTTCATCCTCAGTCAGCACCTGCTTTCACTTTGACTTACCGCCTTTTTCTCCCTTCTGTTTATACTAATCATATTTCACCAAGAAAAGGAATTATGACACTAACTTGATGTTTTTCTCCTACTCACATAACTTTCATTCCTTTTAGAAATCATCTTTCTTAGGCACAGATCACCTAATGTGAGTGCATTACATAAGAAAAGATGCGCTTCTGATGACCTCAGAAGACTAAAACGCTGCTGAACTGCTAACTTACTGAACTGATGAGAATGTTTATGTGAAGAAAGCTCAAAAACCCAAATAAACTGTCAACAGTTAAAAAAAAAAGACTTGCATAAAGAGATAAAAGCAAGGAGTGCTACACAGCACTCCAGCTTCAAGGTATAAGCTAATGATCACTACTTGTCAATCAAAGCATCATCGTTGTTTTGTGACTACAGATCATCCCTTTACTTATGAACAACACATATAGGGATTAATAAAACATTCAAAATACACAAGCTGCCACAGACTATGGGACCTTTGTGAAAAACAAACAGACTAAACAACCAATTTACTTCTGCCTGTACACTTCCCATTCCCTCCCATCCCGCTGCGTGGGCTGCTGGCTTTCGTGGAAGGTTAAGATTTCCTCATAAAAGGTAGGAAAGCAGCTCTGTGAAAGAGCTAAAGATCACAAAATCACAGAAATGCAGGGGTTGGAAAGGACCTCTGGGAAGAGATCATTGTGTCCAACCTCCCTGCTAAAAATACACTTCAGTTTTCCTTTGGCAAAGGAAAACAAACTACTCTTCTTGATTTGCAACCCCATTCTTACTGTGTTGTGCATTTCTTCCTCTACTCAGCGATTTGCAGTGATAACTGGCATACATTCACAAACCCATGAATAATCAACTCAGCACTCAATTGTAAGGTTGTAAAATAACAATTTGATTCTTCATGAAAGATCAATGCAATAATTCTGGAGGAGCATTTACATCATATAACATATGCTAGCAGGGTATAAGACAGCTAATCATCACAGCATAAATTACTTTCAAAGGCCATGAAACATTCCAGACACGATGCATTAAAATAAAAATTAGTGATGTCAACTTGCGTTTCCCCCTTATCCTCCTCTCTGCAGCCCAACCATTTTACCATCAGACTTGCTTGAGTGGGTGGGAACCATAACAGTGGTTGCTTTCCAGTCAAGGCTAGATGCTGGAGAAAATGGCATCTTGCTCAACATCTAAGGGCTAACTGATCAAGTACTAATCTAACTGCAGCCTAAATCCAGTGCTATTCACTGTCTGGTCAAGCCAGATTCTGGAGGAATTAACATCTAGCTCAGAACTGAAGTTATGTAATATGCCTACGAGTCAATCATCTTACCACCTAAGTAGTATGGGGACTCCATTCTGAACCCCATCACTCAACCACAAGGCCTCCCTAGTAACTTCACTGACTCCGTTTTTGTCTAGTACATAAAGTCTTTCATATATTTTATAATCAAGTCTATTGTCACATAATCAACTGTATCTTAGTTTCAAAAATTTGATAAATCGCTCATATTAATAAATATATTGCTGCTTTTCTTATGAGTGAATTACATTACTCCTTCCAAAAAGTTAAGACAAGCAGCTGACTGCACAAGGAGTTAAACTACTGTCAGACTAGAATTAAGCAGCATTTTTTTCCATACAAAAATATTAAAGAAAGTTATAAACACTAACATAGAACAAAGTTTCCTCAAATCACATGACTGTTTTGTTATGCTTATTTTTATAATGCGAAGTAGGCCTTCTCTTCCAGCAGGAACCTCCCAACAAAAATTACACCTCTCACCTCTTGTTCTCCTACTTTACATCTAAATAAAGAACTTGTCTCTTTTTTGTAAAAATCATCGAGGGTACTGGGGAGCTGCTAGTAGGTGGCACCTCCATTCTCTTTTCCAAACAGAAAAAGCCCTGCTCCTCTCAGCCTCCCTTCACCCTGGACTTGCATGGAATTTTCAACATCTTTCTTGTACTGAAGAACCAAAAAAACAGACACTGTGTTCTAGATGCAGCCTAATGAGTAGCAAACAGAAGGGAATAATCAATTCATGTACTGGTTGCACTGTTCTTGATGAAGCCCAGCACATAGCTAGCTTTTGTCACTACCAGAGCACACTGCTGACCTGAAACCAAAAGTAAATTTTCCTACTGCCTTCAGTAAGACCTAAATTCTAGATTGAACATGTAATAAAGCAGACATCAGTGGCAACAAAAACAGAAGGCGTAACCTTGCATTAACTGTTTGTTAGAAAGAAGTTGAGATCCAGGTATACTTGCCCTGCTAACATGGCTGCTTTTTAAGATTGCGCTCCATTTATGAACCAGCCTTCAGCAAGCTTTGTGCAGAACAGAAGAGAGATAAGAAGTATTCTGTCTACAGCATGTTAAGCCACAGCTTGCATAAAGATATAAGGGCCAGTTCTACCAAAACATCTGAAGTGTTATTTGAGATAAGCAAAGTTAGTGATAACTTCCTACAAGAGGAGAGGCAGAAACTAGCCCCGTAATCAAGCACATCAAACTGGGGCCCACTGTGTTTTTTACTGTTATGATTTTTTATAAGCATATATATATTTTTAAAGCGTACTTCTGTTTTGATTTTTTTCGGGGGCTCTATAGATAGTTGGTGGAAGTGTGGAAGTTGGTGGAAGTGGCGGAAGTGTGAAAAGCTCCATCTAACCTTCCATCAAAAATAACTAATTTAAATTGAAATAGTGAAAATTCAATTTAACAAAAAATATAAGGTTTTGAACTCTTCTCCTGCACAAAAATCCAAACAAAAAGAAAACACAGAAAAGTGAACTCAAGCCAAAGGAGTTAACAACATATCTAACTTTTTGGTGTCCTACATCAGTTTGTTTTGAACACCAAGGCTAGCTAGAATTCTGAGTTACAGAATTACAACTCTGTTTTTAACCCATTAGGGACCTCCTAGATCTATTCATCCTGTTTACATGAAATTTTTCCAATTCAATACCATCAATAACAATGCCATTTCCTGTCATAAGCCACACTGGAAGAACTACAGATTTGTTAATTACTACAAAAGCCAACCCACCAGAAGAAAGTAAACAAGGCAAGATAAACAATGTACTTTGCTATCATCATGACAAATGTTACTGGATGCAGTAATTTTTATGCATGGTTAAAAAACTGAGTGCTGATAGTGTACTTTTCGAAATCCTTAAATACTTCAAACCACTCAGCTCCAAAAAAAAAAAAGAAAAAAGATTTCAGACTGGGGTAGGGGAGGGAGGACTGGCAAGAAAGCTTTCTGCTGGGACTACTTCAAGACACTTTTACAACTTGTAAGGCAACGGAAAATCACAAGTTATGAGTAGAGTATAAGTAGATGCAACTGATTTTCTCCACTGGGAATTACTACATAAACAATCTTGAAGTGTCAAATTTCAGAAAAGGAATGAATTAAAGTCACAGGAAAAAACACAGTTCTTGAACACAGATCAATAGCCTCATGGATGAATGCATACTACTTGTAATGGTGGAAAGCTTCAGGAAAAAAACCTGAGTTTTCTTTTTGTGACTTATTAACATCAGCACAGTTCACATCTGTTGAGTTCTTTTTTCTAAAGTGCTCCTTCATACTAATGGTAAGATGAGTATGGCATAGGTAGACTAAACTTGGATGTATTGATTTAGTTTTGAGAACTAAGCCTTCTCTGCAGCAATGACACTGATGAGGAAATGCTTGTTCAGATTGGAAACACAACATGTCACTGCTTGAACATCAAATATTAATCACAGTGAATGTCTTCCTCTTCTGTACTGTGGTATCAAAAGCAGCCTTAGTTCAAGAAACAAGTGCACCATGAGACAACCTACTGAGAATATCTGATTCTTAAATTCAATTCTGATCTATTGCATACACCTTGCAATTTCATAATCTCACATATTACTTTAAATAGTAACTTAGTTCCTTTAATCTAACAGAATAAGCTCCCAGCACGAATACGTATAAACCTATTAAAGGACCCTCTATTGAAAGAATTCGCTTCCACTTAAACCCACTAACTTCTTAAACACTTTTACAGAAGCTAGTTGATTTTTAAAGACGCATGAAGCTTTATTCAAACATAGGATTT